TGCTGGGATTACAGGCGTGAGCCACGGTGCCCAGCCAGGCTGCGACATGTCAAGCCATGTAGTAAATGCTTTATTGTCTTCTTTTATTCAATCCTCAGAGCAATCATAAGTGGAGTTATGATTATTCTAATTAAATAAACTGAGTGGCTTAAAATTACATAAGTTAAGATGAGACAGCTACCAACTACCTAAGCCAGGCCTGGAACCGGGTGTGGTGAAGGAAAGGAAGCTTTTAGCCTTTGTGATGTATTAACTTCATTACGGTGAAAATGTGGACATAAAATTTGTGCTGGATAAAAATGTTTTCTCCTAAAAACATATGAGAAATAGACTATCCAATATAATTATGAATTTGCTTTAAAAAAAAGCTTCTAACGTGACCCCTGAAATCCCACTAATTTAAGTTTAATCAATTAGAATCTTTCTTCTTTCAAGTAATTTGATTGAGTAGTTACTATACAACTATAAGATTTCCTGGAACTGCATTTAAATAAACAGATAAGTTATTACTTTATATTAAGTAAGATAAATGGCATGAAACAAGCCTATTTTATACTTAATAAATATTCAGGGATTAAGTGGATAAATGTCAAAATGGCACGCATTGGCATCCAAAATTGGTTAGTTTTCTTCTCCCTTTCCACTTTCCCTCCTGACATATTATAATTCCAATTTATCATTCTGTGAATTCTACTTTTACTGAGGAGACAGAAAAGATGTAAGTGAAGTTTGAGTTTACAGGTTTGGAAAACTGTCAAGCAAGTAACATCAGGTGTACATTAGGTCACAGTTATTATCCAAGTACATTTATCAAGCACGTCAGTGAATTTTACTCTCTATTAGATGTTATATTTCCAAGAGGCAAGGCCTTTGCAAGACTAGAAAGAGGTGTTCTTCTATAGTTTGATAAAGGTGCGTCTACACATTTCCACTATGGCAGCTTATGGAGAGAGATCTTGCTTTAAAAACTGGCTTGGCACTGGTATGTTGTAGTTACTTAATTATGCTGCTTAATCACCTACTTCACTGACTAATTGAATGCCTGTTTAGTGCAGAAGCTAAGGAAAGGAAAGGAGTTTCCCTGCCTCCAAGGATGCTGTGAAATTGTCCAGTCCCAGTCAGAACAGCTTCCCTGGGCTGTCTCCTGTGTGAGGAGCTGCCCGATCAGTTCTTTGCATGAAGTGAAAACCCAGCAGAGTCCGTGAGTGAAGAGAGAGGCAAGTGATAAGCCTTCAGATGTCTAGGTTTCTGAGTCAGATCTTTTGGCATCGTTTCGTGAATTCCCAGAACTTTGGGTAAATTCGTATTCAAATAGATCCCCCCAATAGGCGACAAAGCAACATAGATACGGTTTTTAGATAAGATGATGGTAGCCATCTGCTTCCTTTGCAAGGACCTGGGTGCATTGCTGAGGTTTTCTCGATACCCATTTTTCTTCCTGCCTTGTAGGCTGCTGTACCCTTGCCCGTCTAACTAGAGGGTTTCTAAGGGAGGACAGCAGACATCCCTAAGAGATCATCCCCAAAGCTCCCTGATACTCCTTCATTGGATCTACTCAGTATGAAGCTCAGCCCTGTGTCATCTCTTCTTTCTCAGCCTGTCCCATTTTCTTCTCTAGCTCTTCTTTTTCTTTTTTCCAAATACCAAATTTTTAAAAGTTTAACATATGATAGACATGAGAAATCATACCCTTCTGGTGCTTCACAGCAGGCACCTAGGACACAAAACGATGGGCAGGGCCAGCTTTAGGGATCCTTCCATCAGGGAAGCTGATAGAGAGGAAGATGTGGGTGTGCTCGATGGAGGGCTGTGTGCTGGCTCTTCTCTCTCAACGATGAAATTCAGAGAAATTAATGTAATCTTTCCTGGCCCAGGTAATAAGGTGAGCTGCAGAACAGCTAGAGGACAACAGACACTCTGTTCACCACCGTGTGGACATCAGCTGGTGGAAATCACAATAGCTCAAGCCACAGAGTGGTTGTTTAATAAGAACTCTACAAATGCATGGTTGAACTTGCAGTCGTTCCAGTTGAAAAACTGAGAGTGATTCTGACTAGTAGAAAACCCTAGATGCAAGGAAGCAATAACTAAATAAATCATAATGAGCCAGATAAGGGGCGCATCATCAGATGGTAAAGAAGCAGATGATTAGGTTGGAGTAGATTTAGAAAGGCAAACACTGAGAAAAGAGCACAAGCTTTCAACAATGTGCTAAGAAGGAGGGTTAGAATTACATAATTATAGTTAGGTTATGTGACTTAAGGCTGTTACACCTATTCAGAAGCTACGCTAACATTTATTGAGGAAACTATCAGATGCTAAAAATTGTTCTAACTGGTGAAGTTAGACAAATGAACAAACCAGACACAAATCTCTGGCCTGAATATTCCCAATATTCATTTCGGATGACCATTTTGATGGCTTCATACAAAAAAATGCAAAAAATAAATAATTTATTATTAAAATATGTTGCAAAGATGGAGAGAGATTTCTAAATTTAAAAAGAAACATTATGGGTTCATTTGCAAGCTTTTGGTAAAGAATGTCTGTGAAGGAACTGGGCCCATGACTCGCTTTATGTGAAACTCCATACTTTAGAGGCCTGAAAATGTGGTGGGTGGACTGGTTTCCTATGCATATTTTACTAAAAGTTACTTCACAGATCAAACATAATGCATGAGATGCATTTCATGAGATGCTGGTAGCCAATTTTCATAAGCCAAGTGAGGGGCCAGCTTCACAGCAGGCACCTAGGACTCAAAGCCATGGGCAGGACCAGCTTTAGGGATCCTTCCAGCAGGGAACATCTGGGTCAATGCGGGGCTGAGCCTACCTTGTCAGTAGGATTGTAACAAATGACTTTTCCCCTGCAAATGTTTTTCAGATGTACGTTTTAAGAACTTGAAATGCAGACTGACCATGCCAATGTGGTTACATTGATTCACAATTAAATCAACAAGTATTGATGAACGCTACATGATGTTTAGAATAGCTGTGAATTTAAGTGTTACAAAGTAGGAAAATGCAACATAAAGGTATTACAACTCAGATTTTATTGATCATCACTTTTTTCAAAGGTTTTCTAGCTGGATAATGCTAATATTAGAGGGCTTTAAGATTTCACATCTAAAGTTTATGATCCTGTCTGAGAACAGCTCATTAAAAACAGACTCATTAGAGAGTGAGATATTAGCATACAGGAGGGGTCCATGTTTTCATTCAGTCCTTTGTCCAGTGTCCAACGACACACCTACTGAGTTTTGAAAACCCAGTTATGTTTTACCCATGTTTGTTTTTCATTTGGACAGTAAATGCCAGTATTTTAAAAGTTAATTTTTTAATTTTTATTTATTAATTTTTTGTTTTAATAGAGACAGGGTTTCACCGTGTTAGCCAGGATGGTCTCGATCTCCTGACCTCATGATCTGCCGGCCTCGGCCTCCCAAAGGGCTGGGATTACAGGCGTGAGCCACCACACCCGACAAAAGTTAATTTTAACACACTTATCAATGTAGACTAGGTCAATTTTTAGCCAATTATTTCCATGGTAAGTAGAAAGCAAAGCAACGGAACGGTTATCTCAAATCATCTCGTCCCATTTTCACATGTCTGAGACTATAGCATTGTATGCAGTGCTGAGGAGGGACAGGTAAATGCAGAAAGAGGACTGTTCCTAAGGTCAGGGAGTGCATAACCTTTTAGGAGACTGAGATCTCAGATGAATAGTCACAGTAGATTAAAGATTAAAGAAGTATTATGAGGAATAGGCATGATTTGTCTTATTATTACCATTATTATTACATTGACATGCATGAAAGAGAGCAATGTCTGGTTCTGGAGGCCCTTTGGAAAACCTGTGTTCAATGGTTGATTCTTTCTCCCCCACAAAGTAGCCCTTGTTAAGTCACAACTCCTGTTCTGCTGCGTTTTGTAGCGGAGGCTCCTAGAAGAATAACTGACTTGAAGACAGAGTTAAACCCAAGGAATGAAAAAATAAAGGATGGGCTATGATGAGGATTAATCCTTCCTATGAAACATTTTTTTCAGTTTGTGTCATAGGATGTCTTAGGAAAATGAAGCAGAAGCTCGCTTACATTAATTTCTTCTTGCGAAATTAGTTTCTTCTGCTCCTTTCTGAAACCCAGTTTAAATTATTAACGTTAAAACCAGAGTCTATGCTGACATTATATTTCTAAACTATGTCTATTGATTTGAAAAAAAAAAAACTCCTTTCATAAAGTGGAGGCCAATTAAATTATTTTTATATTCCAGACTAAGTTCTATATATTGAATTATGCAATTTCTATGCTTCACTCAGTCTTTCATTTCAACTTTAAGATTTTTTTTTATTTTTAAAGTCACCATTCATATTTTCTTTTTTTAAACTGTCAATAATGTTTTAAGTTCCTATTTGCATTGTGCTGTAAATAAATTGTTATAGTTTGTTGTAGAATAGAATCTAAAGGTCAAAAGTAACTTTGGAGATCATCTGCTCCAAAATCCTTTTTTAAAGTTGAAAAGGCACCGTTTATTGGCGGTCACACAGTGTAAGAGGTAGCTGAGATGGTAACTCTGGTTGAATTCCACTCGACGGTGCCTTTCCTTCTGTCTTACTGCAGTCACCCACAATTGGGTGTGTATGGAGACTCTCTGAACAACAAGACGTACATGAAGACTCTCTCTGAGTCACAGTGGGATTTGAAATGGGCTACTTTGGTATTGACATTACCCATGGTGCTATCATCTGTTAGATCCTTTGGTGAGTGGAAAGGCCTTTGGAAAACATAAAGTGCCCCAGCATAACACTGCAGATACCAAACAAAAATACTGCCGGCCCAGCAGTCCACTCCCTGATTGGAGTCCATGCCCCAATTGGAGTCCATGCACCATGTTTTTACTGTGATTAGATAATAGCTAACTTGAAATTTCCCATAAATGTTATGTCTTTACCAAACTGACAAAATGTTCTAGAAGATAACCTCGTTTCTATGTGTTTCCAGCTAGAACATGTGGATCCAATCTGCGTGGGCCCAGCGGTGTCATCACCTCTCCGAATTACCCGGTTCAGTATGAAGATAACGCACACTGCGTGTGGGTCATCACCACTGCCGACCCGGACAAGGTAAGGCTCCACCTCCAACCCCTATGGCTAATGCACACCACCCTCTGATAGGATCTGCTGTTGAAGCAAACAGCCCAGCAAAGGCCGTCCGTCCTTACACTTCACTGTTTGAATTTAAAAGTTCCGGCTGCATCCTGTGTCTAGATGCCACATTCGTTGCAGGGCAGCCTGAGATTCAGATACAAAGTGAGTATTCTCAGTGTGGTACCATTTGGTGGTTCTAGAGATGAAGTCTGTGTTCCTCCTTTATGCATCGTAGCGCTTTCTCTTATGTCTTTTTCAACTCAAGTCTCATCCACTATATCACAAGCTTTCTTAAATACCCCAGTATTTTTGCATAGTATGACTAAGTGTTGGAAATGCTCCTACTATACTCAGACACAAAAATACTGTCTTTTGGCCAAGCTCGGTGGCTCAAGCCAGTAATCCCAGCACTTTGGGAGGCCAAGGTGGGTGGATCACTTGAGGTCAGGAGTTCTAAAACCAGTCTGGCCAACATGGTGGAACCCCGTCTCTACTAAAAAATACAAACAAAAATTAGCTGGGCTTGGTGGCAGGCACCTGTCATCCCAGGTACTCGGGAGGCTGAGGCAGGGGAATCACTTGAACCCGGGAGACAGAGCTTGAAGTGGGCCAAGCTTGCGCCACTGCACTCCAGCCTGGGCAACAGAGCAAGACTCCATATCAAAAAAAAAAAAAAAAAAAAAGATACAAAACAATACTCTATTTTGAATCATTTTCTACAGTTCATGTGTTTCTTCTCATAAACTATATACATTTTTTAAGAATTAAACATCTGAGAGTGTTTTCCTATTTCTTATCTTGAATACTTTGTGTAAAATATATATTTCCTCCAGGGTAGTAAAAGAGGACAATACTATGTTATTTCTCTATAAGTTTGTGTACATAGTTTGCAATTATATTACTACATTTTAAATCTTAGGATAGAAATTGTAATCACAATCACGTTTCATTGGCTATCAAATGAATTTTTTTAACTTCTTTTAAGTTCACTATAGATGCTTGCCAGTAGGAAGAAAAAATAAGGTAGACATCTTCATATTGACTTGACTTAAAAAGAAAAAACTGTCAAGAAACTATTATAGGTATGGATTTCACTTAAATTATGTAATATTAAAATAATTATATTTATAATAATATTAAATTTACTAAACCCCACTATTTACCAATTATTGAGTTATTACCAACAGTTCCGTGTCTAAATGATTGTCTCTTCATTTTTACATTTTATTAAAATATCCATCTTATTTATATAGCTTCCTCTCAAAGCTGTTGAGTTCCCAGTTCTAAAAGAGAAGTGTTCTGATTTTAGATTCAGTAAAGTGTTCATCACAGATGCCTTTTGGTTTTGGTTGGCTTATTTTAGTTCTCAAATCTCAGTTATTATTTATGTAAAAATTCAAGCTTTAATGAGCAGAGCTGGGTAAAACTCCAGGGTACTGCAGGCTTTCGGAAACACTGAGGAATTTCTGGGCTGTCTTTGCTGTGACAGAAGCTTCCGAGTTTGACTCTGGTATTTCTCAGGATGCTAGAGCTGTGTGGTACCCTGGGCATCAACTATAGTGCTACATACCTTGTTTTTTCTATACGCTACTCAACGGTTTAGTTATTCCATTTTTTACCAAGAACCTACTATTTTTCAGTACTTGCAATCATCACTTTAGAAACCAGCTCTACCACTCAGCAGTTGCATGAATTTGGGCAAGAGATATAGTAATAGCATTTACCTTAGAGAGTAGTTGTGAAAAATGAATCAATCCACATGTTGCATAAGTAAATGCAGTATCATTATTATAAGCTGCTAATACTGGTACTGCAACATAAACAAGCATAAGATAAATAGAAAAAAACACTTATTAACAGTTCATTAACTATTTACTAAGCCATCTCATTCATTTGTCTAACAAAACGGAGAGTTATATTTCAATCTGAATTAAAATTATATACTATATGACTAGTGTATTGATAATTATGTTTACTAATTTCTGCCTTTACATACTTTTAAATAATTAGAATATTCTGTTTGGTCTCCAGAAAGTGAAATCACACAACATTGAGAAGTTAGAAAAGTTCTGAAAGTTAGATAGTAGAACTTTCCCGAGTAGAAGTAATAGTAGTACAGAAATAGTAGAACAATTGAGTTTGTTTGGGGGGTATATTAGGTGTTGATTTGAATTAAGAGTACATAGATGACATGCATATCCATAGGGACTCAAATAAAAGCAAATACTTTGTGTTAGAGGGATTGAGATGTGATCGAGACCAGAACTATCTGATGGGGACATTTTTAAAATACAGAATTATGTTACTTCTGCAATTTGAGAGACAGAAGGAACTCTTCTTGGATTTTTTTTTTTAAAGAAAATATAGCTAAAAGCAATTAATTAAATCAAATCAAGGGAATAGTTTAGTTAACCTGCATATGTTCCAGGTGGTTTTATAAGAATTGCATGAATCTATCACAAATTTTAAAAGTGTTTGAAAGTGGAGATTACATAAAATTAGAAACACAGCAATGAGTGGCTTTCCAGAAAGCTCCCTGCCTCTGCTGCCTGTGATGAGGCTGCACCAAGCCCCTCTCCTGCCCACCGCCCTGCTCTTAGCCCACTTCACAGTGGCAGAGCCTCAGCCCTGCCTCAACGACTCCCGGAGTCTCCTGCTTTCCGCCCCAGGCTCTGCACTCAGAGTTTGCAAAGCCTGCAGGAGTCCTCTCCTCCTTCTGACACAGCCTCACCTGGACTGAGAGGGGCTCCCACCGCCCTTCCTGGCTGGAGGAGTGATCAAATGCGCCCCTCTAATGCGTCAGGCAGAAAACTCTGAGATGAATTTTCACAGCTCTGCAGCCATCCCTAGCAAGACGGAGCCAAATGCCTGCAGGGACACTGACTCAATATCCCACTCACGGGTGGGATTTCTTTCCATCCCCTTCTTTCGCTTCTCTTGAAGTCAAATGCATGGGCTGCCGTCTAGCAAGGCTGGGCTTTAGGGGGATCCACAAGGAGATGAACTTGAACACGCAGTAACATCACTTCTTCCTGTAGCCCTTTTGGTGGAGAGGAAGGAAGTACACCCTAACAGCTTTTGAGAAAAATTGGCTAGCCAAAAGTAGAAAGCTGAAACTGGATCCTTTCCTTACTCCTTATACAAAAATTAATTCAAGATGGATTAGAGACTTAAATGTTAGACCTAACACCATAAAAACCCTAGAAGAAAACCTAGGTAATACCATTCAGGACATAGGCATCGGCAATTACTTCATGTTCCTAAAACACCAAAAGCAACGGCAACAAAGCCAAATGGACAATTGGGATTTAATAAACTAAAGAGCTTCTGCACAGCAAAAGAAACTACCATCAAGAGTGAACAGGCAACCTACAGAATGGGAGAAAATTTTGGCAATCTACTCATCTGACAAAAGGTTTAATATCCAGAACCTACAAAAGAACTCAAACAAATTTACAAGAAAGAAACAAACAACCCCATCAAAAGTGGGCCAAAGGATATGAAAACAGACATTTCTCAAAAGAGGACATCCATACAGCCAACAGACACATGAAAAAATGCTCATCATCACTGGCCATCAGAGAAATGCAAATCAAACGCACAATGAGAATACCCATCTCCACCACGTTTTAGAATGGCGAATCATTAAAAAGTCCAAGAAACAGGTGGCTGGAGAGGATTGTGGAGAAATAGGAACACTTTACACTGTTGGTATTGTAAACTAGTTCAACCATTATGAAAACAGTATGGCGATTCCCCAAGGATTCTAGAACTAGAAGTACCATATGACCCAGCCACCCATTACTGCGGTATATACCAAAAGGATTATAAATTCAATGCCTGCTATAAAGACCACATGCACATGTAGTTTGATTGCGGCACTATTCACATAGCAAAGACTTGGAATCAATCCAAATGTCCATCAGTGACAGACTGGATGAAGAAATATGGCACATATACACCATGGAATACTATGCAGCCATAAACAGGATGAGTTTGTGTCCTTGTAGCGGACCATGGGATGGCAGCTGGAAACCATCATTCTCAGCAAACTATCGCAAAGAAACAGAAACCCAAACACCGCAATGTTCTCACTCATAGGTGGGAACTGACAATGAGATCACTTGGACTCGGGAAGGGGGAACATCAACACACCGGGCCTATCCATGGGAGAGGGACGGGAGGGATTGCATTGGGAGTTATACCTGATGTAAATGACGAGTTGAATGGGTGCAGCAGCACCCAACATGGCACAAGTATACATAGTAACAAACCTACACGTTATGCACATGTACCTAGAACTTAAAGTATAATAATAATAAATAATAATAATAATAAAAGGAAGGAGACATGAGAGGCAGAGTTTGGAATCTAATACAGTACTTCAGATGAAAGATGGTAAGGTCTGAAACAGAGCAGACGCCATGGAGTGGTGCAGGGAAATCACCCCAGACTTGTTTCAGATGGAGACTCAGCAAGACTGGAGACCTCCCAGCGCAGGGAGGGAGGAACACGGGACCCCGGGCCATGGGGAGGGAGGAACACGGGACCCCCGGGCATGGGGAGGAGGAACACGGGACCCCGGGGCATGGGGAGGGAGGAACACGGGACCCCGGGGCATGGGGAGGGAGGAACACGGGACCCCGGGGCATGGGGAGGGAGGAACATCGTATTCTCTCGGACCTTACACCCCTGCCGCCTTCCCCCTGCAGCGGCCTCCAGTAGGTGCCGTGGGTGTGGGAAACAGGAGAGAGGCAGATGACACCGTGGGTGAGAGGCAGAGCCTGAGGCAGGTGGGCATTCCTGCTACTTTCGCAGAGGAGTCTTGGTAAATCTCTGCTGCCTTGAACAGTTACCAATAATGCCTCTACTGCATTCTCAAAATCTTTCCAGTTCAGAACAGTGTATGTTCTCTATACCTTAACCAGGGAACAGACTTCAGGGACCAATTTCTTTATGTAGGAGAGGTGTGTGGCATTAGGCACAGGGATAGCCAGGTGCTTACTCTCCATCCAAGTCCATGGAATGGACAGAGGCACAGTTAGAATTCACAGATGTGTTGTTAGCCGAAGAAACCAGACATTAGGATGACAGCATGCAGAAAGCAGACCATAGTCCAAGAAGGCCTTGTTGATGGCGTTGTTTTTCTCTCAAAGTCAATTGGAGGTAAATTTTGCCTCAACTGTAGTGAGAATGATCTTCCACCCGTAAGTGCCATTACAGAGTTTTAAAAGACTGAAGTGTTTTGCCCTGGAGTGGAATACCCACGGTTTCCATGGGAAAATGCTGCCACCAAGCTAAGTCTTCAAGGGAATTAATTAACATCTTTCTGGTACTTTCAAAATTCATTTAAATCCAGATTACACATCAATAATAATCATAAATATTTTTATTCTATATGAAAGATGTGCCTATAGCACATTTTAATTTATATATGATTTTCCTACACATACTAGAATAATTGAAATTCTATCTAAAAAGAAGCTTTGAATTCCTATTGTTTAAACCTTTTACAACTTGACAGAGGAGAAATTAAGATCCAGGAAAGTGAAACTTCCTGTCATCCCACTGCACTGTGAGAACGCTTTATTATCTTGCTTGCTTTCCACCATAAATAAATGAAAGAGCAAGTTATTTGCTACCTCAATAGGATATTTTTGGCTGTAAGTAACAGGAGAGCCAACTGAAAACCAAAAGTTTGGTGGTTACCTTATTTTACATAACAAAGGGGCAGAGTCAGGGAGCGTCCAGATTGTATTCAGTAGCTCTGTGGTATCATTGCATCTCGGGTGTTTGACCTTTTTCCTGCCCCTTTGTTATGTAAAATAAGGTAACCCCCAAACTTTTGGGGTTTACCTTAAACCCCACTCTCCAGAGCGGAGACAAAATCTCCCCTCAGTTCTCAAGACATCTGCAACCATCCGAGGCTTTAGTTCCAGATCGGGTCATGTGTAATGAAATGAGGCATGTTTGGCTAGAGATGGAAGACATGCTTCCTAGAATTTGTCTTGCTAACTTCCTTCATATCCCATCGGGTCAAATGCCTGTGGTTCAGTTCCCACGCTGCCAAGGAAAGAATTATCTAGAAGCCAGGAAGAGGAGCCGATGGTTAGTGTGTGGCGATCAGTGGTGTCCATCACATCCAGGCAAGCCAGACACCAAGGAAAGAGGTTGAAATTAACACTAGTATATCTTTTGCGTATGATGTGATTCAAATCACACTGTCTTCCTTTTACTTTAGTTTTATGGCTACCATCCATTAACACTCACGATGTATGTTCTTTCATTTTTTTAAAGTGGACTTTTAAACTTGTCCAAAACATAAAATGACCAATAATGAATTTAGGCAGCTTAGGTTTATACAGTTCTCTTCTCTCCTTTTAGAAGTTTATTTTTTCTCTCTCATCTTTGTGCACACTTACACAGACGTTGTATATATTTTCTTGATTGTGAGGAGTTAACAATTAACACATTAAATTTCAGTTATTTTGTGTTATATTGCTTCAGAAATTATTTGCCCTTTGTCATTTATCTCGGAGAAATGTTCAGAGAAGAAACAAGGTATTCCAGGTTGACATAACCGCACAACCAATACTCTTAGCAGAGCACCACTTAGACACCTGAAGGCATCTCAATTAAGCAGAATTACCATCCAAATTAAGCAGCAGCCATTGCCATTAAGTATAATTAGGCTTAATTTGATTCCTTGGGAGACATTCCAAGTAAGTGGGTTTCTCAATTAAGTGCACGTTGATGAAAGCGTATTACGTATTGAACATGAGAGAAAAGAACACTTACATAAAAGTTTCCAGGCAATGACTTCTTGCCAGAAGCATTGATGGAGCATTTTGGATAGGAAGAATTTGCACACTTCGGTTTGTATGTTTGACCTGGTCTGCAAACTTTAAGAAACAAGGTAGGACAGAAAACTAAAGTCAGTTTCCAATGCCAATTATCCATTAGTCAATACATTCTTCTCTTTTTTTGAAACATTTAATCCTCTCTGATTCATACTCTTTCCTAGTCTTATTTCGACTTCGACTGTTGTATAACCAAGTGCCTTGGGTCAGTTTATCGCAAGTATTTATGTAAAACTCCTCATACAAAATAATTAATGGTGGAAGCTTAGCATCTCTCCTAGTAATGCACATGACATGGTATCGTGCTATATCATGTCAAAAGGAACATGAAATATCTATCATTAGAAAATCTAAAACTATTAGAGGAAACTAGCATCTTCTACACAGGAAATTATAAAATGAAAGGTCTCTCAAGAAGATGCCTTTAGTGGAGAAGCAGATTTTTAAACAACTGGAACGACTCATTCCAGGGTATTGTGGTAGAAAGTCAATGCAAAGTAATATAGTAATGTGATATTTCTAAATATGTTTTATTGTAGACACATTTTACAATCCAGCTATTTTCAGAACTCTTGATGAGTCCTGCAATCAGAATTCTTGAGAGAGTAATATATATTGTGAGATATGTGTTATAGTAATTAAGATAAAATTCTCTCAAAAGTTTATCCCTGGGGTCTTCATTGGAAAGCTTAAATATATCATGGAAGACCTGCCTTCTACTGACTGATTTTATAAAGTTTATCCCCAGGGTCTTCATTGGAAAGATTGAATATATCGTGGGAGACCTGCCTTCTACTAACTTCTTTTATGTATAAATGTATGCATGCATGCATATAATATATATATACATACATAGATAAACACACCTGTATATACACACATACGCAATGTATCAGCTGGAATGAGAGGTGTGTGTTCTAAGTTCAAAATTTCTGTTATATAGCTCTCAAATACATATATAGATAAATACATAGATATATACACACACATTTTAAATACATTCTGTGGTGACATAATTTCAGCTACTGATTCTAATTTGAGCTTCCTGTTGAATACTTCTGTTGCTATTAAAGCTCATCAAAATCTTTGAGGATTTAAAAAATCTCAGAACATTAGTGCATCTTATTGGTTTGTTTCTTGTTTCGTTTTCCTTTTTTTCCAGCTTTATTGATGTATAATTGACAAATAAAAACTGTATAGACTCAAGGTGTAGTATGCATGCACAATAAAATATTACTCAGCTATAAAAAGGAAGTCCTGCCATTGACAACAGCACACATGTATCTGACAGGTGTTCTGCTGAGTAAAACAAAACATGGGAAACTTCGATTAGGGAAATAAATACTCAAACATCCAGAACATTGTTTTATTGGGCAAGTGAATATCAGTAGTATATAACCCTCAAAAACACTTTCATAGGAATTTTCAAGTATTTCATTATAAGTTTATGTTTTATTATATATTTATAATGGAAATTATAAAATTATTTTAAAATATATTAAGTAAATCAATACTCAGAAACACATGTAATTCTAATAGTCGCTTCTGTCAGTGTCCACTTTTCGAAGGCATCAGATGAGTTCCCACAAATGCCAGATGCCTGCACAGTCATTGATGGGTTTCCATCTCTGGCGTCCATGGCGGACCCGTCCTAAACATTGAGCACTCATGATGTGTGGGAGGAAGAAGGAGAGTGATGAGGCAGATTGATGAGGATAAGGAGTCCTACTCTATGAGGAGAAGGCAGGATCACTTAATACAGCAAAAAGTGACAGATACGCAGAGGATGTTTAAGAAGGGCAAGCAGCAGAGGGTGTGAGGGGAGCGGGGGGAGAGATTGCGGGGAAGTAGAGGAAGGGCTTACATTCCAGAAATGGGAGGAGGGGAAATAACCAGTCTTTTTGTACAGGTGCATTGCTTGGGAATATTGCCGGTAAATAAGGCTGGGAATGTGAGCTGATACCAGAGGATAGGTATTATAGGCATTTTCTTTCTTTCCTTCCCTTCCCTTCCCTTCCCTCTCCTCCTCCTTCCCCTTCCCTCCCCTCCCCCCTTCTCCTTCCCCCTCCCTCCCTTCCTTCCTTCCTTCTTTTGTTCTTTATTTACTTTTTATGTCTTCATGTGTATATGTATTTTTATTTTTGAAGCTTTTATTTTAGGTTAAGGGATACACTTGCAGGTTTGCTAAATACGTAAATTTGTGCCATGGTGGTTTGTTGTACAGATTATTTGATTGCTCAGGTGTTAAACCTAGTGCCCAACAGTTTTTTTTTTCTGATCCTCTGCCTCCTCCCACCCTGGACCCTCCAGTTGTTCCTAGTGACTGTTGTTTCCCTCTTTGTGTCCATGTATTTTCATCATTTGGTGCCCACCTAGAAGTGAGAACATGCAGTATATTGTTTTCTGCTCCTGGGCTGGTTTGCTAAGGATACTGGCCTCCAGCTTCATCTATGCTCCTGCAAAGGACAAAATCTCATTCTTTTTGTATGGCTGCATAGTATTCCATGGTATACATGTACCACATTTTCTTTATCCAGTCTACCATCGATCAGCATTTAGCTTGACTTCATGTATTTGCTGTCATGAATAGTGCTGCAATGAACATACACCTGCATGTGTCTTTATGATAGAACAATTTATATTCCTCTGGGTGTGTACCCAGTAATGGGATTGCTGAGTCACATGGAATTTCTGTCTTTACATCTCTGAGGAATCACCACACTGCCTTCCGCAAAGGTTGACCTAATTTGCACTCCCACCAACGGTGTATAAGCGTTCCTTTTTCTCCTCAACCTCGCCAGCATCTGTTAAATTTTGACTTTTTAATAATAGCCATTCCAACTGGTGTGAGATGGTGGTTTTGATTTCCATTTCTCTAATGATCAGTGATGTTGACCTTTTTCTCATATGCTTCTTAGCTGAATGTATATCTTCTTTTGAAAAGTGTCTGTTCATATCTTTGCCCACT